TGCAATCAGATGGACTGCAAATTCACAAGCGCGGTGTGGAACCCGTTCAAAAAAGCCTATCGACGAAAATGTGCCCCGGCATTTTTTACCAGCTATACCTGCAGGAACTGCGCCGGGCCCGACTGGGATGAGGCATGTATTGGAGGACCGGCGTGTTTTTACAACTGCCAGTGCCATTCGGCCTTCGAGGAGGATGAGTTGAGCGAGGCTCGGGGGACGTTTCTTTCTTTGTTTGGTTAAAGTTTTATTTTTGTTTGGGAAATTTGTTTTGTTTTGGGAAATGTAACCGGAGCTGGTGCTCGGTTAGTTTGTTTTATGTTTTGTTTTAAGTATCGGTTGATACTTAGTTTGTTTTATGTTTTGTTTTAAGTATCGGTTGATACTTAGTTTGTTTTATGTTTTGTTTTAAGTATCGGTTGATACTTAGTTTGTTTTATGTTTTGTTTTAAGTATCGGTTGATACTTGGTTATTGTTATGCTTTGATTGAGTAAGAACATGAGTGAGAATTCATGATCGTACTCAAACACATGTACTTAAAAAGACCGCCGTCTTCCACTCTGGAAACGGCAGACTTCGACAGATAGTATTTTAATATACTCGGTTGAACGGTTATCTTTATTCTCTCAAGTACACCGCCGAAGCCTCCCTTAGCGAGCCTAGAAGTTGACAGTCTCCGGTAGGCGTCACTTCCCTCCTATTGTACCCGACAGCGTGATTAGCGCCCCGGCGTAAACACGTTACATAAAACCAATCAAAACATAATAACTAAGTCAGGTATACAACTTGCGTCACTTGAGTGAAACCCATGACTCATCAATTGAGTCATGTGTGAAAATCATAACATCTTGTGACTCACAACTGTGACTCATGAACAGGTAAATATAATAACCTATGGCACACTAGTGTGCATCATGTGAAACCCAACATACCTATAGCTTAGAATCCCAAGCTATGTGAAATCTACCTTGCTTAGTCACAGTTTGTGACATAGGGTTTACTAATGAAGAACTCTATAAGGACTCAAAGACAGGTCTAGCTAGTTAGTTAGTTTCTCACTTATTAATTTAAGTAGCAGTCGCTACAAAATATTATAATATTATGATACATTCTTTATAATTATGACTTCTTTGATACATGAAGTCCTAGACCTGGTTATATAATAAAGTACAACTAGAACAACTTTCCTGATTAACTCAATAGATGTATCTATTAATCTTGAATACATAACTTGAACCTCCAGGGAGGTTAAGAATTATTAGACTATAAGAAAACCATTTGTTCTCTGTCATCAATATTACTTATTTTATTATCCAAAGAGTGATCCTTACAGGTTAGGGGATTTCTATAGCTTAGAGTTTTGGTATTTTCATGTGGACTGTCTCTAGCACACTGTTTTATTTATGCCATAGCTTGATTGCTGCATGCAAGTTGGTTGTACTGTAAACAATAAAATCTAAGACTTGATTAAAAATTAAAAAAAATTCTCCTAAGTTATCTCTTAGTTTGACAGTGCAAGCTGGGAATACTATCTTACAGTTTAATACTATATTGAGTTCAACTCTCACTGCCAGCTTATTATCTAAGACAAACGTCAGAGTTACCAATATTTTCAGTCTCCCCACTGCCTATACCTATTGTCAGCCTATAGGCCCAAAATCTTGCTATCGCTCGTCGCCACCCTTGTCCTCTATATACTAATTTCCTCCACATACTTGTGTAATGCGACTAGGCAGTGTATCTGATCGCATGCCACCACCGGGGGACTATAGCGCTGTTATGCCCCCCTGAATCCACCACCCCCGCCATTGCCTAAGGTCTCGGGTGGACCACCCTCTTCCATTACCCTCGACCAAATAATTGAAGCCAGTATCATCCAGACCGAGTGACCCTCCGTGATACAACGGGGTTACTGAGGTATTAACCTCCAGTAGCCCCGGAATTGCCACACTTACGTATGACTCTTCACTTCCCTCGATTACTGTTTCAGTCGACTGTATAACCAACCTGCCCTACCCACCAGTTACGCCCATAAAGACGTCAATGAGCCCGCACTCCTCCTCGGCGGGACCTTTTGGCCCGGGGCATAACACCTTCAAGGACGCGACGTATGATAGAACTGCGATTGAGTTCCTGGCTTATCAGATGGACTCTAGATAGCACAGTCTATACCCGAATGATACCACCATATATTCCATTGCACGATCCTTGTTGGGCGAACAAGACAGCACCTGGTTCTAGCGTTTTAGCCGTCCCTTACGGGAAACTAACCCACCTGTTGCGAGGTGATTCGGACGATGCCTAGGTTAGGACCTGTAGGGACAAGGATAAGTCCAAGGCCCCACTGGCATGGGTGCCTCACACTCCGGGGTACTGTACCGTACAGTGGCATGGGAGTGGCGGGGTTGCTCGGAGTTTTAGATTATCGGTAATTGCGGCGTACGGAGTACAGTACTCGCACATTACATGTGTGCGTACGATCCGATAGATTAATATGCGCTGTACTAGAGTACAAGTAACTGTGGGAACAATAAAATACCCCCCCGCGCCGTTCTCGCTCGACTGAAGTGACGGCGGTTGAAGACATTTTTAGAGACGGAGATCTATCCTAAGGGTTGCCCTCATTCTGCTCGGCAGTCTCATCGATAGTGATTGCCACCTCCGGAGGATGGGGAAAATTGTGGCGCAACGGCCTTCCCCATCAAAAACGGTGGCCGACCGGTCAAGGGTATTTTACGGACGGATTTGATCAGCTTTAGAGGTTGCTTACATAGCCTTTAGAAATTTCTCGTCGCCTGAGTTCCCATCCAGGCTGCCGGGGTTTTGTTGGAGCTCTGGACCAGTGCAGCGCCTCCAGGAAGCCGTCCCATGCTACAATATTATATGGCTAGGAGAATTTTCTAAATTAGATCCGGTTCCGCCAGGAATAACCAGTGGAGGAGGAATGATGTCTTCGTTGGGGATAAATGTGGGGAGGCGAAGGGATTAGATCAGTGGGGGCATGAAATCGCTCTCATCAAAAGTTCCAAACCCCTCGTGATTTTTGATGGTGCGGAAATGCCATTTTTACTGTGTGCGACCCAACCGTTCTCGCCCCCACTGTTTTCTTCGTGTCCCCTGCCCATCCTGAAATGGCGTAAAGGATAGCAAGCCACTCCCCGCCAAGTCCCATGTCGACGTCCACGACCCACTCACACTACAGTACCGGTAGTCTCACTCAACACACATAATCACTCGACTGGTCACTCCACCTCCCCCCCCCCCCCCCAAGAAAAAGAATAAAATAAAAGCCACACTACAGCAGCAACTCGCAAGAACCAAGCACCGAAAAAAGCTCAGCAATCAGATATTATAATTAAAAATTATATAGTGAGGTACCGTATTGTAAGGAAATGCAGGGTAAAGTAATAGCAACAGCTCTATTGATTCAAATTAAACTCCTCCATGCATTCATTCACATTCATTCAAGCTCGTCCCTACCTACAAAACCATGTACCCCAAGACTAGCGCACCAAGCCAGCCTCCGATGCTCACACCTCGCTGGAGACTCGGGGCGCCTGCAGCCGCATTTGTGATTGTGATGTTCGGCATCGGTCGCGGGTCCGTTACTATTCCCGTACTTGTTGGAACGGCGGTTATAGTGGTGTATCCGGTTGAGGTGCTGGTGCTTGTTGGGGCCAGGGTACTAGTGGTCTGCGCGGGGTTAGCCCATCGGCCGGTGGGTAGGTACTCGAGTACTGTACAAGTACTTGTAGGAGAAGGGGAGGATCGCACATTTGTAGAGATACCGCTACCAGAAGGGGAAGGAGGAGTACAGTATCCACTTGCATTCACGCCCCACATTGGTAATGCGCACGCGGTTATATGGCCCTGGGAACACATTTCATCTCCTGGAATACAGTCAACACCCCGCCTGACCTGGAGAATGCATCTCCAGAAGAGAGATAAGCGATAGTAGAGGAAGGGAGAGGAGGGACCCACCAGGGGAACAGCAATATGTCTTTCTCCCAACGATAGTGCATGTCGTACCCTCCGGACAACAATCCTTCAATCCACCAGCCACGTTCCCGCAAGAGTTTGATGCGGTCGCAGGACAATTCCCGGCTCTGAGGGCGAGCCCACCGCTGGCGGAAACGACGGTGCCGGCGACAGACAAGAGGGTAAGGATCGTGAGCTTCATTTTGTGCTTAAGGGAAAGAGGTTGACACGGTTGGTCGACGATTCACCCAGCTTCCTTCCTTCCTTCTATCTACCTGTCGGGTGGAGGAGCACTCAGAGGAGGGGCAAGTATCGGTTTATATCCCCCCTCGCAGAATTGGCCCCATAGGGGAGGGGGCGGGTATACGGTAGGGCGTTCATCCGCACGGGGTACATACCCGATGAGCACGAGGGTCAATGAGCCAGCGAGCAGGCCAGCAAACAATACCGGTACCGGCGGAAGATGAGAAGAAGAATAAGAAAAGAAAAAGAAAGGAATGGAATGGAAGAGATGTGGAAATTAGACTTTTGCTTGGGATTTAGGCGTGGCGGTTGGTCTGCCTGTCGGTGGATTGTCGGCTGGGATCTATGGCTGGGCTTAAGTGGGTGGTTACTTTTTTCCTCCGCCTGATTGGTGTTCGCGTGTGTTGTACAACGCTCGAGTGCCCACTGTATTGTATGGCGCTGCGCAGAGCTGGATCAGGTCGAGTACTCGTACAAGTAGTTATTAGACATAGCCAATTGCTGCGGGGGAATTTTCTAGCGAGCGAGCGAAAGGGTGAGATCCCGTGGTAAATTGTTTGTATCGTTGCCAAGCGGTAAGGAGAATCGTTAGTCCGCGGGATTCGGAAGGTGGGTATTGGACGGGATTGGGGGGAAGTGGGACATTGGGAGTGGGAATTGGCTGGGTGATGTGTTTCCCTGTTGGCGAATGAATGGCAATTTTGATTTTTTCGCATTTTCTTCCTGTGCCGGGAAAGGAAGGGTGAACGGGGGTGGTTGCCGTGGCTGGTGCGCTTGAAATTTGGGAATCCCGCGCTGAAGCACGGGGGTGGCGGCCTGCCATTTCTCCTGTGATAGTGGTAGACTAGCCTTGGCAGCTGGTAGGGATAGTATTATGCCTCGGCATTCCAATAGAACCCATGAGTGATAATAGGTGAGCTATTAGTCGCCTCAAGGGGATGTCTGATGTCGGTCGCTTCCGTCAACGGGAGTGGATCTGGGTGGATTTTTATTGAACAGACGCGTCTCTACATCCCAGTCTGAGTTTTGTCCCCTCAATTATTCTCATGGCACTACTGTCCTCAATTCCATGCTTAATAAGACAACACATTAGAATGTGCCGAGCGAATACGAGATCTATATACCTGTCATAATCCCAGAGAAGTGACTGGGGATTTCACGTTATTCTCACCCCGGGTGCAGCGGGTGGGGTTCTAGCTTGCTTGCTGAGCATGTTGACAGTTGACTATAACAGAAGCCCTACTGTATTGGCAACGCTGGATCTATGACGACCTGCAGTCGACTTTCAGAAATTGAGAGGATTTACTAATCTCTAGGGGTCTGGGTGTACGAGTACTCGTACTGTTCCTTTGCTGAGATCACAATCCTCCAAATATACTCGTAAGGGGTGGGCTAATAGCCTACCTATAGAGAGATTGTTCGTTCTCTCGGCTCTTTATTTACCTCGCTCTGTCTTTTTCCGCCTGCGACCACCCCAGGAGGCCCGCGGGTGAATGAAAGAGTTTCGGGAACTTGAAGGTGTTTCAATCTTCTACTTTATCCTGACTAACAATAGAGCTGTCCGTCAAGATTTGGCCTGCTCCGACTTTCGCGGTTTTGGCGGGGATAGAGCGTACAGCGGCACCTCTGGGCACGTCTATCCACCGAACGATGGAGAATATGTTAGCCCTCAGTAGGCACTCTGCCCACCGTATGTCCGGAAAAGGCGCAAAGGGAAGAGGATTGTGGACATTTTAGGGGGGGGAAGGATGATGTAGAGCGATGGGGAAGAGTGAGCACTTGTGAATAATAAGGGGGAGGTTTTGGAGGTTCCAGGAGAAACTGTAGACATCCGAGCTTTGCGGCGGCCCTAGATCTCTTTTTTGCCCCTCTGTCGTCGGCTAGAGCCTAGAGGTGATTTCCCGTCCACATCGTGCCACTAACCGGTACGAGTACCCTCGCACCT